GAAAATAATGAGCCCTGCACATGATTCTCGAGCAGCTCGGATATTATGAACATACAAGGTAGCTGTGTGGCAGTTACCATACAGAGCCTAATTTGTCACTGAAGATGATGATTCCAGCAATTCTGTTTCAAAATTGGGTCAATAAATTGCTGTCAGTCTAATTCACTTGGCACTGTGTCATTAAAGCCAGAATGATTCTGTTACAGCTCTGCTGCATCCACCACACTTGGCAAGTGGGGCTTAAATTAATATTTAGTTGGACTGGTTTGGCTGAACACACACAGACACACACACATAGGGCAGATAAAGAGAGCAGGAGCTAGATTATTTAAAAATGACGGTGCAAATACAAGCAAATGACTTCCTTCTCCTTCAGGAACTCTTTTCACCATGAATAATAAGGGACCCTAAAATTCTGGGAATAAATACATAAACTTCATAAACTTGTATCACCTGCTGTATTTCATTAGTGCAACTCGTAAACACACCAGATTGTCTGCAGCTAGTTGTTTTAGCGACTGAATCTGCCAGCTGCTGCTGTGCTTTATATTGAGCCGCTTCTTGTGACCGTAAAATTGTCCTAAAATGATTTTTTTCTTTTACAAATTTATCAAATAACACAGAATAGTAAGTTCTGCTTTAAAATAGTCAATTGGCCAATTGGATGCTAGAGTTATAGTTTAGAGGTCAGCATTTTATTTATTTATTTATTTTTTTGGTAGATTCAAAGAAAGGATATTTCTTGGTTATATAATTTACATAAGAAAAAATAGTTACAAATGAATTGGGTGCTTGCTATAAATGCCACCACATTTCTTTCTGTAATCTCTACCAGAGGCTCTGCTGGGACTTACTGTTGCCTCTGAATGTGTAAGCTAATAGCAGACTGTCATTTGATGTGGACTTTGGATAATTCATGGTTCATAGTGCTTTTCTTCTCTGACGCACATTTGTGCATCATAGCAAGGAGGAAAGAAGCTTTGGATAGTGGAATCAGGCTGTTTCAGGCAATACAGTGTGTGATCTCCTTATATGCAAGGGCATTTTTAATTTTCTCTTTGTACCAAAGGAAATCAAGTTTTTAGATGTTGTGCAGTTTATGTGTCGTTGGAAGCGGAAATCACAAAACAGTCTTCAATGTCAACAGGCGTGTATAGGACAAATACCACCATTCTTGCATGAATGCTATTAGAGACTTGGAGATTTTAATCTGCATGCATTTTCTCATTTAGACAAATCCAAAAAACACACATGCACACTACATCTGAAGTAGACAAAATAAATTGGTTCTGCTGTGAATACTTGCAGTCTCTGCTGGGAGCTTATTATGTGGCACTGCACAACAACTTGAGTGGTTAAAGATCGGTTGTCATCTTTACAGTATTTCGACACATACTTCTTTCTGACCTGTCATGAACAGGTCCAGCCTGCCTGGTAAGGGGTCCAGTCATTATTGGACTTAACTTATGGTGAGCACAGCTACATGATCAAATAGCTTCTTTCAACAGGAGCAGGCAAAGAGTAGTTTTGGCAGCCTTAGGCCTCAAGCTGTTCAACCTTACGCTCACTAATTGCTTTCTGTCAGGAAGGCCAGAATCTGTCAGCTCAACAGTGTTCAAAGCTCAGGGAGGAACTGTGCTAATGAACAAATATAGGAAAAGAGGAAGAAGTGAATAACATATGGGGAGGAGAAAAGAAGTGGTGTCAAAAATGAATAGATTTTTTATTAATAAACTTTGGATTGGGGAGCTGCAAAACATTATTTGTAATATTTTCACTCATCAGTTACAGACTAGAAGAAAGTTTTCCATGCAACTGATCTTTTTTTTTTTTTTTTTTTCTTCATGATCCATCAATAGATTTGTTTTCCCATGGTTACAGAAAGAACTATTTTCTTTGAAACGCCAGACAAAAGTGAAAAAGGTTTTATATGGTAGCGCACTTACAAAACAATTTGTTATTCACGGCATTTTTATAAAAACAAATTGGTGCCTGTGAATGACACATTAACTGTATATATTATATTACAATGTAAGTTATTCTTATTTACATGTACAATTTACATTAAACAGTATTTTATAAATGTACATATATTAAACACTACATATAATACAACTTCAGTGGTGCTTATATTGCAAGATGTGTGCAGTAGGAAAAAGAGCAGGTAGCAGCGAGTAGTGATGGGATTTCCGGCTCGTTTTAGAGAACCGGCTCTTTCGGCTCTAAACCGGCTCTTCAGGTTGTTTTGTTGCTTTAATTAATTTATTATTAACAATAATATAAAATTATACACAAAAGGAATTACTAATGTAAAAAAAAAGTGGTTTTATTTATATATGTTTATATACAGTGACCCCTAGAGACAAAGCATGTACAAGCACTCATATATATTCAAATAATTTAAAAAAAAAAATGTTAATTCACCTGTTACTACCACACACCAAATCCGGTCGTTGGTACTTGCTGACTTGTGTAGCCACTAGGTAACAAAAGCTCAACACTGCACCTAGCATCCTGCAGCACTTCTGTTGTGTTTTGTATGTGTTTTGGAGTTTCTACGTGTTTGTACGTGCTTCAGAGTTCGTACGTGTTTTGGAGTCTTTTTTTTTTTTTTCTGTAGGGGCCACCGTAAATATGCTTTTATTTATTCACTCCACATGAAATGTAATAAATAAATCATGTAATACAAAAACCAACTAGTCACATTTCAACTTTTAACTATTTAAATTTTCAGCTGGGCGGATCGATCCAAATATCGATAGTATCGATCCCCAGTCAGGATCGGTATCGGATCGATACTAGCCTGGTTAGATTGATTCTTTACTTTGAGTTCTGCTTGTTTGCTATGCTGTGCTTTCGGCAAAAACGAAAAAGCCAGGTCGCTGGACTCGCCGCTCCTGTGTCAGTGGAGAGCAGGCACACTTTGCTCCCCCCCTCTTATGTTTTGGTGTTGCGCTGACATGTCACGTGACTTAGACACTTTGGGAGTTATTAAGTTGTTTACATATTAATTATATTTTTACCAGTTGTTTTTTGTTGTTGAGAATTTTAATTGTAATTTTTGTATTATAGTTTATCAACAGTATTTGTTTTCATTTGTTTACCCCGCGAACAGGTGAGGGAATCGGCCCGGACCATCGGCGCCCCATGTCCCGGCCCAGCGACTGGGAAGTGTCCACTCTGGCGGTCGCCTGCGCCTCCAGCGGAAGCCCGGGAGCTGGCCTGATGGCCACCCATATGGCAAGCAGCGGCGGTGCAGCAGGAGTGGAAGTGAGCCGGGGCTCAGAGGCAGCTGGGCAGACCATGCAGCCTGCGTGCCGAAGCGGACAGTATGCCGCCCTCAGGCAGAACCCCCACACACCTCGACCTCCAGCTTGGCAGGTCCCGCTGGTGCGCCAGCCTCCGGCTCACCCCGAGCCGCGTGCTGTCCACCCTTACAGTGATCACCCGGTTGCTGTAACAGTAGCCTACATTCAACGGCTGCAGCCCTCCTGCTGCCAGCTGTACACATCAACACCAAAAACAACAACAGCACAAGCAGCGCACAGGTTTATAAGCCGGTGAGGCATGATTGTAGATGCAGTGAAGGTGAGTCCATCTCACCTGCAGCAGCATCGCAGACCACGGCCCGCCACAATAATAAAGCATTTTTTATTTATTTATAAATAAATTATTTCTCCTAATTATGTCCTGGGTTTTAAATAATTAATAATACAAAAAGAAAAATCACAAAAAACACTTAAGGTCATGAAAATTAATTGCGATTTAGCAATTCAATGAGGCATCTACCTTATTTATTGAAAAGTATTGGTATCGTCCAAAATATGCAGTATTGCACACCACTAAACTACACCTTTCTGATGCGACGTTGTTGTCCCTGGCTCTCTTTCTCTGTCTCTCCCTCCTGCTCTGTTCCTTTGCTACTGCGAGTGTAACTACCGCCCCTCCCCCCTCTTCCCAGCGCTTGGGGGGAGGCTTATTTGTTTAAAAAAAACATACTAAGAAATTTAAAGAGAGGTTAATGTAGCAATACAAAACTTATTATAATGACTTATTCAGTTGTCTGTTCATAACAAAGCACAACTGGGGTATTGATCTTTCTCTCTTTCCCTTTGTAAAAAATGAACATGATGCTAGATGTTTCTGTTCTGATGTACTAGAGGGGAAAAAAGCATCCTCTGCCCCTTTTGAACGTCAGAGCATTTCACTTAGTGTTTTTATTTCTTTTTTAAGTCATATCTACTGTTGTTCAGGATTCACTCATAACTTTTGAGTATATATTTCATAGCTAATTGTGTTATTTCTACCATCACATCTACAGTATGTAATGTTGAATTTCTAAGGTTTTTTTTTTTTTTTTAACAAGCAGCAAATTGAGTTATGTATACCTTATTTAAGCAAGCAGACAGCAAGAGCAATCAATAATAAATTCAATTATTTACAGAAAGAACTTCAAGGTGAGTTCTAACATTCCTTTTTTTCCCCTTTAACTGAAAGGTAGTTCTTTAGAATCTGTAGCCACTTGTACCTGAACACATTCTATTTTTTTAACATTAGCTTGTCTGGAGGAGTGTATGACTGAACTGGATTGGTGCTGAGATTTGTAATAAGAAAACGGGAAATGCTGTGGTTATACAGGCCTGTCCACTTACTCAGATATCTGCCGAGGAAGAAGAATTGCTTTGTGAGTCATTCACCCTTACTGGCCTTCGATCACCTACGCCTTCCATAGTAGCAGGGAACAAATGCACTGTGCCTCTCGCAGCGTATAGCAGAGGAGGGCCTTTGAAAAGAATAAAGAGGGTCAGTTTGTGCTGCTTTGACGGTTTCCCCCATATTGCACTCTGTCTTACCATCTTGGTCTTCAGCTGGTTTCCACACAGAGATGATAAAAAGGGAATGGTCCTCGAAGAAGAAACATCCCATTCAATTTTAAATAATAAAATCACAAAATCTATTATTTATGCCCCAAATGTCCAGCTTGGGATATCAAATGCACTTTTGAAGTCTGTAAGGGTGTATCTTTTCACCTTGTTTGAAGTTGGTCCCACCAATATGAAAGGAGGTGGGTGTATACAGAGAATATCAAGCCGAGTACGTGTTTACTTATTTATCTGCTTCATGCATTTGCTCTTTTAGGACTCGGTTCACAGGAAGTGCAGGATGGACATCTGAGCCTTTTGGGTAAGGATATTTCATAAACTGCAATAAATGTTGTGCGCCAGCGGTAACTTCTTCCTCTTTGAAGACAATTCAGAACTCCTTTGGGAGTTAAAATATTACATTTTTCACCCTATTGAAATTGGATTGGCAGCTGGTTTCAAATTTATATTACTAAAGAAATGGTGACCAACGCTCTTAAATATTGTCCACACTCCAATGAGACCAGATTGAGAATTCCTCCAAAGTTGTTCCTCAGTTCCAAACATCCAAAGGCTTTACTGTAGGGATCCTAGTTTTATTGGCTTTCTCCACTGACCTGCGTTTTGATTGACAAGTTGACTCCTAATATTTAAAAGATCAACAAAATAAGTGATGACTCACCTTTATTTTTAATTTTTTTGCATAATATTGTCTTTAGTTCCAATAGTTGTGGACATTTTGCACATATTTAACATTTTCAAATCTTTAATTATACCATTACTTTAGGCAGGGTGTATAAATCCTGCAAGTGAAACTTTAATGCATGTAATCGCAGAAAGTTCTCTGATACTAACCCCATATAAATCTGACATGTCTATATTGTAGCTGTGCTTTGATTTTTTTTTTCCCCAGTAAAAAACAAGTCTAAAGACAAAGAAAGCAAGCAAGGTTTCGAATGTACTGCCAGGACAAATGTAGTGTTTTGTTCTGCTAAATCATTCAGCAATGATACAATTCATGTATTCAAGGCGCTGCTGGTTTTAGTGAATTTTTTATTATATGCTAGTGTAATTTACTAACCACAGAGGTTGTTCATAGTTCATTAATTACCTGAGGTCCCCACATAATGAAGGCCTCAAGAGAACAGGGCTCAAGGGCTCAAGGCGTACTCCCATTGATGTATTTTGGTGATATATACACACTTGCATACACTCATAAAGAGATGAATGCAAATATACACGTTAAGAATAAAAAATATGCTGGTTGTGGCCCTTTTCTGTTCACATGTGCTATTTTTAAAAAAGCAAGGATGAGGGGGACAAAAAAGTTGCCTGTATGCTCTTTCTGCAACTCGGGTGCTGAAGAGGAGAAACAGATGATGTCCTGCTTTTTTTTTACTTAAACTTTGGTTTTGTTTTCTGCAGATATCTGATAAGCAGACCTATGAATTCTGTTTTGTGTGTTGTCAGAAGAGGGACAGAAGAGTTTCTGTTCATCTATTGTAGAACAACATGTCAGTGTGTAATAACTGGTTCACAGTAAATATTTGAAGTTCCTTACATGGTCTAAAAACATGAACCTTACATTTCTGCATTTCTGTTAGCTGTCACAGTTGTGGAAATCATCTAGTGTTGTGTGAATCACAATGTGTTGGTTGACCTTGCTTAAACAAACTGATGAAAGCGAATAAAAATGGTTTAAAAATTATATTTCTATTTCTAATTTCTATTAAAAATCTCCCCACACAAGGTAAACAAATTCTTAAGATGTTCAGGTTCAACAGAAACTTCCAATTATCCTTTGCAACCCACTATTTGTGTAATAGGGCATTGGTTTTTGCTAAGAAAATGTTCTTTTTTAAACTCCAGATGTCCTGAAACAGTTTGTTAAGAGTTTCTGAAATGAGTATTTTCCTACTCTTTACATTCTTTCAGGTGGTAAATCCCAATTCCAGTGCCAATTACTCATGCTGGAATAGGTATGTGTTCTTCACCGCGGAGGGATTGAATCGACTGCTTTCAGGGTGAATCAGTAATGCGGAAATGAAAGAAAAGCAAAAAGCTGCAAATTAAACTCCTTGCTTCCTCTGGCAGGTTCTTTTCAAGAGGAGCTGACAGGGCTTGACTCGAGAGCTGATCTTACTCAAGGAGGTGATAATTAAATAATGGAGGCCCACGTCTAACAAATTCCACAGTATGGATTTGGGATTTCTCAGCAGTTTCACCTTCCCTACTGTGCCACACAATCAATATTTGATCAAGGTCCTAGTCATGAGAGTCTAAGCATCCCCATTTTCACTTTTAATTCCCTACCCAGTTGCGTAATTCCCTTAAACTGGGATGGCTGCTTTTGCCAATATTAGATTTTTCTAAGTGTGCAGCCACACTCAGCGTCCTTTGAACTGTATTAATTTCAGACAACAGTAGTTTCTTCCGAGTTTGAATTAGCCAATAGCAATTAAAGTCTGTAAATACGTTTGAGGAACGTGCTCACACACGTCATGTGAAGGAGAATGTTGAATATGCAAGTTTACAGAGCACATTGCAGCTGTTCAAATAATAATAGAAAGCTACCTTATTCACAAGACTTCTCCAAACTCTGCACAATTAAGTTGACAGAGTTTTATAGCTCATGCAACCCCGCTGGCATTTGTGTGTCCTCCCTGGATCAGACCATGGATCTTGGCTCCTGTGGATCTGTAAACTACTACACCATCAAGTCGATTGATGTTCAGCTGAAATTATATATACAGTCTTAAACAGCGCTGAAGCGCACATTACAAACTTTTTACAAGTATAAGTGAATTCACATTCGTGAAATAATAAGTACATTCGCATAACCAAATTTACAGTAGCGCTAATGGATAAAGCAAAATAGATGATCATCTTGTGAACATTTAAGTGACTTACAGTTATTTTCAGGAGACACAATTGTAATATCTGGGGGGGAAAAGTTTCTGCTGTTTCATAAACTGGAACTACTTCACTTGTGTTTTTTCCCTCCCAAGTTTCTCTGCTTTATGGCAGGAAACGTGGGTAGGGGAAATCACAGAGGACTGGTTATATTCCCTTTTCGACAAGCACTTTGATGACACTTTGAATGGGCAATAATTAAAATCTTATTTGCATAATGTTCCCCAAAAACTTTATGGACAGCAAATTTAATTAAACTACCATACTTAAGAACCATGACCTTGAGGCAACCAAGAAAAGGAGATGTTACTTTCCCCTTTCAACGGTATGCTAATTATACAAAACATTTTACACTCTTTCGTCAATTTTTCAGCACACAGCCTATAGTTCTCCAGTGGGCACATAAAATATCAGTATGGTCCTTTAAGTCTGAACTAGTAAGCAGGACAATTAGAAACCTCTCTGCAGTAAATATTAAGCGGATAGTGTGCATTTGACTAGAAATGAGGGATTAACTACTTAAAATGTTCTGCTTGATCCCTTGACTGGACTTCAAAGTGAAGTTATATTGGAAGAAGAGCGTTTGAGAACATGGGCCGTTATCTGCGGCCCTGTCGTGCTGCTGACACTCAGAAGTCAGAGTGTTTCCAAGAAAGTTTGAACCCCGTGGGAACACGCTCTGATGACGCACAATGAACTAATGGAGCTCATGACTCATCAGAGTATATAATAATGTAGTAGTTCTTTAATTTTACTGAATTTACTTCATCCTGTGATGTGTCAAAGTCAAGTAGAGAGTGATGGTTTACTGGGCTCTTCCTCCCTGAGGTTGGCCAAAAAAGTACATTTTCAACTTCTATGTTGGTCAACAAAACATATTAATTTTACAATAATGGGCCTAAAATGTGTGATATGCCTACGTTTTTTATTATTTCATATTTTTAACACTTTGGTTAAGTTTGAGCACCATAACTACCTTTTTAGCTTTAGGAAAACATCATCATGGTTTAACGAATGAATATCTTTCAGTAACTTTTGTTTTAGTCTTATAATTGTGTGATGAGAGTGACGCCTGTATGTATTCATGGAGGTATGTCAGGCTATTTTCCTGTCTATGAATAGCAGTGGCTGTTCAGCTATTCCTCTTTTCCTTTATGGTCGGCTTACAACTGGGTATATGGAAGAATGCTATTGATGTAGCATAATTGCTGTTGGCGCAGTTTCAGAGGGCGCTGGCTGCCTTACACAGTGCTTATGATTGCTTCTTTCTTGGCCAAATACTCATCACATAGTGATACTTTGGTTCATGTTTCCTCTTTTTTTCCCTGATTCTTTTACTGAATCACAAATCATTGCATTGTGACTGTGCCAGTTCTTAATGATAGATGTTTTAAAGTTGTATGGTTTGATTTCTAATAAAACTGGAAAGTATGAACTTGTGCCAAATACCTTTTGGAAGTTAATACAAAAGACCCGACTACTGAGAAAAGCAGCATCCTTTCAATTAATACTGAGCGCACACAAACTATAATTGCTTTTATAAGCTGAACAGCAACAATTGTCTGATTGAATTCCATTATTCAAATTTAATTTTACTTTTCAAGTATTTTACTTGATATGAAATGGTTAAATTCATGTCAGTGATTTATCTGACTGGGTCCTATTTTATATCCAAGCCCCGGCTTCTTTGCCGGTAGCACAGGATTAAATTAGTCTAAAAAAGTTACAAATATTTTCATGCTTCAGAAACACACTTTCTTAACTATGCTGATAAATAATATGCATCGTTTCCTAAATAGAATCAGCAACACTAGTGAAGCGAACTCTTGTTTGATTCTTTGTGCTGGTCCCTTAAGTTTTGTCCTCTAGGTCTCGGCACTCATTTCAAACAAATCAGCCAATTATTCTCTGGCTGTTGATGTCACCATTGATGTCTATGTGAAGGTTTCAAATCCAATATTTCTTTCCCATAAGTGTATGACCTTAATGATTTCTCATTCAACTAAGAATTCCCCTGCCAGACGTGTTGCTTCTTACAATGTACTGAACTTGGTTGATCCATGCAGTGTACTATCCTTGGGCAAGGTTTAATGTATGATGACCTGACCCTCTTGAGGAGGTGGGCCAAGGCTCTGCAGTTCAGTAGAACTTATGTAAGTGCGTTATATATAGCATGTAGTGTATATGGTGTTATCACTCGAGGGACTCCAATGTTATCTCAATGATGTCTGGCTCAGTGAAAAGCAGCGTGTTAAAGAATTAGTGAATCTGTAATTCATGTGAGAGGATACGTTCAACAACTGCTTCAATTAAACCACAAAATGTATGAAATTGTTAAGCTCATAGTGCTGCACAACAGCACTCATCAAAAGCATTTGTGTAGGTGAAAGAGAGGGAGCAACTGAGAGAGATGACATGCTGATATAAACTGAAGCATACTCGAGCACACATTGTTAAGTGCAGTGTGAGTGCAGGTAGATTTGGGGAGAGGGGGGCAACTCCAGTCAGGCACACTAGAGGGTAACTGTACTTCCATGAGTGCACCCTAAAATACTCTGCCTGGGTTACACGAGGTGTGATCAGCAAGTTCAGGAGTGGGTCTATGAAAATCTAAGCCCTTACTCTATTTTAAATTTGACTGATTTCCTATTCAACATTAAGCATCTTCTGCAATTCTAGATTGTTTTCAGCGCTGGTGAATTTTTTACACTCTGTACAAGTTCCATTTTTCCCCTTTGCACTTGTGCCAGTCCAGTGGATCCTGGATCTCCTCCTGTGTGAAACATTGATGTTCCAACCTCATCTTGATCATCGTGATCAGACCACATAGTGGGGAGGCAAATCACCAGGTAGTGAGAAAAGATTGTGTTCCTGTGGCTATAACTATGTTTTCAAGGAGTTCTGAGCTAGCAGGAAATGGCGCTCTTGCATGCACCATACAGTAGTTCAGACAGTTTTTGCTGAATAGTGTCCTTCAAACATGTTTAGGAAGTTTGTGTTGATGGTCTGAACTACAGGGTCGGGTTAATCTCCATAAGAGAAGCTGAGTCAAGTTTGAAATAGTTGTGAAACTGCAGATCATAGTGCACATTATTACAATGCGTTCAATAGTTGATGTTGTGGGCGTTTGAAGATGTTTAAAATCATAATCCACAGAAATAGAGCCACACTCACTTCAGTTTGGTAAGGTTGTCTTTGAGTGCCTGTTGATGCTAAAGACTTCTTTGAACAACAAAAACAAGCAACATATTTCATCTCAATCCGAAGGCAACCCCAAGCAATTCAACAAACAATGTGGTGTCATAGGTCATGGGTGTTTGACCAGACTGTTGAAGTGAGCTGAAAGAAAGCACAGCACCGAGGTAAAACTTAGCTCCATTTGAGTCTAGAGACGTGTTATACCTCTTCAACAAAGACAGTTTAATTCCATTCATACCTGCAGTGTTTGCTCAGGAGCAAGTATTGGCTTGGTCCCAGAAGAATGAAAAAGGGTCTCCAAATATTGATACCATCAATTTTCAGAATTGTTGCACTGTGGAAAATATTACTGTTATCCCTGCTGCTAAGTCAGCTGTGGTAAGCATACATCAATGACACATTTTTATTGCAAATATGCTCACCCTGCATGGTAATAAATAGATAAATAAATGCATTTTAGATTTTGTTCTTTCCTATTTTGGAAAGGGAAATAAGAAAACAATAAATTGTCTCCAGAATGCTGCTGTTTCAAACCACTTGACTGACTTGTGATATATGGTGTTACAGATATATCTCTAGCTTTTTATAATTTTTTTTTTTTTAGTAAAACTACTAGGACAATGAAATAAAGGCTTTTCTTAATAACAGTTGTTCGTCCACCTGATGAGCGTGTTGCTTTATTGGGAGAGATTAGATAAACAACATTTATAATAATAGAGTACAGTAGATACGAAATGCTCATAAACCCCTGATAAATTTCTAGTTTCTGTGATGTATTTCAGATGAATTTTTCAGAACTTTATTGTTGTTTTATTTTAAATATCTTTGTACAATTCAGTTTACAAACTAATTTTTAAATTCTTTTAGGGGATACAATTACAATTGAAAAACTTAAACTAAAATTTTGCTGATGCACGTTTTGATTTTATTTAAGTATTTAGTTTTTGTGTAGCATTAAGTGCAAGCTGGCACTACTTGACAGTATTCTGTGCACCTCACAGATTGGTATTTGTTAGGTTTTTATAATTTCCTGTGCCTGGGTCAGAGCAGTAATCCAAGCCTCAAAGCATAACGCTGCTACCACCAGGCTTAATCGTGGGTATGGTGTGCAGTGTTGTCTTTACACCAAACATACGTTTTATAATCATTGCCAAAAACGTTGGATTTTACTCTCATGTGACTGCGTCTGCTTTTTGTGAGACTAATGGAGGATTTTCATCTTAAGAAGGCGTGCCTCAATGCCTCCCTATTGTCCACATATGATGAATATGGAAGGTTGTGTTCACATATTTATACACAGTACTTGCCAAAACCTTGCATGATAACTGGAGTGTGTAGAATTTTTATAACCACTATATGGACACCAATTGTCCTATTGTACTGGTTAATGCAAAAGTAAATGCTGTCACTTAACAGCTATTTTCTCACAGCTGACATTTGTGGCAGTATTGTTATCCAGTTTCTTGGAAAAGTGGGAACAAAATGCACCTTTCTAGTTGTCTGAGTTTGTTTACAACCACCTGTCTCAGATCCACTTTCTTACTTCCCCGAAGTGACTGGACGAAAGAGTAAACACTCCGGAATTGAATTAACTTCTCAGAAGTTCACAGAACATGCCGTTTAAATGATATAATATATCTATGCCCTGTGTGTTTTACTGGCTCAATTCAAGCATGACTGCAAATGAATCAAGTGTGGCTGTGAAAAATGAACTCTCTATCAGAGCTTCAGGAAATCTATGGTGCATTGAAAGCAGCATTTAATCAACTATCAAATGATAAAATTGCTTTTCAGCTGGTTTTGGAGGGCGATTGATCTCTTTAAAGATTGATCAGCGTTTTAGGATAGACTCCGAAAGTATTTGACAATAGAGTCAACGCAATTAAAATGAAATGTATAATTTGATAGTAAAATCATGTGTTCTGTTCTCAGTGTGCAGCTTTGTTATCCATATGCTAAGTGTAGTGAAGGAGTCTTTGTAATTGGGGACTGTCTTCAAAGAAAACATAAATCTGCCTGCTGTCTTTGCCAAATGTGTTTGACAAATTATAGTGCTGGCTGATGGCAAAGCTAGTAGCTGTTTTCTCAATTGCCTGTGGTAAATTTCATCTGAAATTATAATCACTTCAAGGTACCTCTTGAGTCAGCTTGAGCAACATTCGCTGGATAAAGAACATTACTAAAGTTCCTTCTAGACTTTAAGAAGTTACACAAGTGTATATTTTCAGTGAATGCTGTTATGAAACTCTCATACTTTCTGTTGGACTGAAATTGCATTTTCCTGAAACATCAGCATTATAAAAATATCATTTAGTGTTGATAACCATCCTTAATATTAATAGATGGCATTGAATTTTGAACATTAACAATTTTTACATTCTTGAGTAAAAGCCAGCAGGGGGTAGCCCCCAGTGAGTATCTTACTAAAATACCTAACCTCAAAGGACATAGCTATTCTGAAGGAGGCATTTTTTTAAGGTTTTACTTATACTTGCACTAGATGACAATAGTTATGTTACACTTTATTGAGCTCTTGGCAAGGTTTAACTGCCTCAGGTCAAGGACTAGTTCAAATGTACACATCCAAGTGCAAGTCCCTCCTGTTAATATTCATATCTAGGGACCAAATTAGAAAGTGGAACCAAGAAAGAACATAGTATTAATATTACAGTACTATTTTTTTTTTTATTTTTTTTTTTATTTAATACATTTCTGCTATGATCATCATTTCACTTGTAGTGGTGCAACTAAGAATGGGCCTTTCTCGCGTCTGTTAAAATGGTCCTGTTTCAAAGAAACAGAGACTTGTAACTCAGAACAAAAGCTTTGACTACAAATGCAGAGATAAAGGCGTTGTCTAATGCAGTTCTTTACAGTAGGCCTCACTGTTGGAGATCTATTTTCAGTAATTAGAGCCATAAAGGAAGTGAAATCTCATCTCGGTTAGGCGATCAGATTGGGCACATCTAAGGCTGCTTTAGATCTTCTATGCAGCTACTTTAGACAAAGGACTTTGGTAATTAACTCAGGGAGCTCCAATGGCTTTGGCTGATTCACTGGTGCTAGGCTTACACAAGGACAATAGCTGGAATGATAACTCGGCCCCAATTCTTTAGCTATGTTTTACGGCACCTAAAAAAACAGAATTGTGACAGCCTTTTATTACACCCGTTGTCTAAGCAGAATTTCATCATGTGCATTTTTAAGACTGTTCAGTCAATAACACGAGTAACTGTAAGAAGTGTGTTATTTGTATTTATTTTAATTGCAGCCCAATTTATGAGATGAGAAAAGTTTTTATTTCAAAGAATAAAATTTTATTTCCCAAAGAATCCATTGTGTATTTTAATAG